AAATAAACGCATCTTTATTAAAAATGAGGAATAAAATGGCGCTGACTCAGCACAAGGCCTGCAAGCTGCCAGGTGCAGTCGGAGCCCAAGGAGCACGCATTCCGCAGTCCCCAAACTTTGTTTATTGAGCAGAAACGCACAAACAAAATTAACCATTGTCAGGTGAGCAAGGTGGCGGCTGCTCACCCCGCAGCGCAGTGTCCACCCCCTGCCCCCACAGACTGTGGACGTGAAGCCGGTCCTGCCCCCAAACCCCTGCCCAGCCTCTGGCAACCTCGAAGCCGCCCTGCGACATCTCGCCCTCCGTGGCCTTCCGTGTCTGCCTCCCTAAGGAGTGCCGCGTTCCCAAGGTTCGTCCACGCAGTGGCCGGTGGCAGGGCCTCACGCCTGGCGTGGGTAGACCAATTATGTGGTTTTTGAATGAGAACATGAGTTGTGAAACAGAAACACAACGTAACTTTAAAAGTGTAAAATTATAAAAACGGTAAGGGCTGTGGTGCCGTGGAATCCGGGCGGCAGACAGGGGCGTCCCGGGGCCCCAGCACTGGCCTGCTCTCCAGCCCCCCAACATACTGACTCCTCTAGGTATTTCAGGAGGCCCCCAGGGGCCGTGGGAGCTGAGACGGGAATGTGGCAAGGAGACAGCTGACAGCCGGGCCACTCTCTGGGTTAGGTGCAACAACAATGCAAAAGCCCCGCGGGGGTGGGGGTGTAGCTGAGGCTGGAGCCCCCCCAGGCGATGGGTGAGGGCCCAGGAGCTCTTTGCCCACCTGGGGTTCACTCTCAGAGTACAGGGAAGAGACCCCCACTGTGGTCACCCTGTCTACAGGGGCCTTCACCCCAAAAGTCCCATTCAAAGCACCTGCCGGGGCCAGCATTTGGCCAGTGGCCGAGGTGCGAGGGGGGAGCTTGGGGCCAAGTCCCCCATCCGCTCCTCAGTCCAGCTTCCCGCTAATGCACACTCCGGAGGCAGTGGAGACGGAAGCAGCTGGGCCTCCGCCACCCACACGGGAGACCTGGGTTGAGTTCCCGGTGACCGCTCACGCCCTGGTCCAGCCGCATCCATCACAGCCCCTGGGGAAGTGAACCAGAGGAGGGACCCTCTGTCTCTGGCCTCTCAAATACCCTAACAAAAACGTAAAAAGCAAAACCAGCCCAAACGCTGGCCTGCGACTGCGCCCCCATGTCTGATCTCACTCCCGCACGTCGACCACGCCTCCTGGTGCCACGTCGACCACGCCTCCTGGTGCCGAGTGGGACCGGGTCTCTAACTCTCACTTCCCTCTCGTCCTAGGAAAGACGCTGCCCTACGAAGGCGGGAGCTCCGTGCCAAAGATTAGAGTGAGTGCCGCCGCCGGCTGCCTGGACACCGGGCGGCACCAGGCGGCTGCAACAACCCCTCTGAGCGTCAGTGACTTGCCCACGGCACAGGGAGAGCGGTGGCCACGGCTGGCTCGAGAGACTGCAGGGACGAGAGAATCGACGCGGCACGTGCAGCCACTGTCAGACACACAGGAAGAGTGCACACCTGAGCACCCTCCCCCGCCCCTCCCCACAGCCACAGCAGGAAGCCAAGGGGGCAGACACCTCCTGCTATGGGGAGGGGAGGCCAGGTGGCTCCCCGCCCCAGGGGCCCCCAGGGCTTTCATCTCCGAGGAGATAAGCCTCCTGCTCAAGTTCACATTCAGGATCAAATGAACCCACTTAATCCCCTCAGGGATCTCGCTGAGCTGAGCTGGCTCTTCAGGGGCAAGAGAGGGGCAGGGGGGTCCCCAAAGGTGGAGACCCTCCCCACACCACAGGACCGGCAGAGTGCCCCGGGCTCCCTGCTCCCGTCCCCGGCTCTGCACGCCACCACACAGAGGCCTGTGCCACCAGGATCCCACCCCCCCCCCATGGGGAAGTCAAGGCCTGAGGAGACACAGCTGCAACCCCCAGGGGAACCCTCGCCCAGGTCCCAGAAAGGCAGAGGGAGGCAGGAGCTGGCCTCCAGCCCCAGGTGCACACAGTAGGCACTTCCTGCAGCATCAGGGCACACAACAGGTCCGACCAGCTCAGGCTGCTTGGCGGGCCCCTCTGGCTGCTTCAGGGTGGGGGTGGGGAGTGACTGCCCCCAGAGGATGGTGGGCAATGTCCCAACACTTCCTGTCGCCACAAGGGGTGCCACGGGCGTCTACGGTACAGAGGCCCGGGGTGCAGGCCGGTCCCTCCCAGGGTGAGCAGTGTCCAGGCTGAGGCCCCGCCCCCTGCACCAGGGCTGGCAGCTCAGGGACACCTGCTGGGGGCAGGGGACGTCACAGGCTCAGGGAGGCGGGAGGCGTCCCCACACAGGGCTCCCCCTCCCGACCCTGCCCCCACCCTGCCAGGCCTAGAACGTGAGGTCCAAAACCTCCTCCGCCACGGTCACTTCCAGGGAGGCCAAGGCCAAACCTGTAAGTCTTCCCGGGGGCCCACCTGACACCAGGCAGTCTCCCGGCCCGGGCGGGCAGGGACGTGGCTGGATGGCTTTGTTTTGTTTTGTTTTCTCACATGCAGGCTTTCTGCTTCTTCGCTTCCCAACACATAGAAAACACATTTGTTCTGCTTCTTACAAAAACCAAAAACGTCTTTCTGGTAAGGCAGCTGCCAAACCACAGGCCAGGCCAGCCCCGGGGCTCCCACGGGCGGGGACCTGGCAGGGGGAGCCGCGCCTCAGTGGAGACGGGAGCAAGCGCCCGTGGCGTCGGCACGTGGACACCCAGGGGTGCTCGGGCCAGCAGACACCGGCATCGCCTGAGTGGCCTGTCCCCAGGGAGGACCCCCGCGTGTGCTCCCAGGCCCAAGAGCAGCAGCGCTGATAGCAGACACAGGAACCGCGGCTTGCGACGCGGGTCTCAGCCCCTGCGTGAGGGGAAACCGAGGCACAGAGCCACAAGATGCAGGAAGGTGGCCGAGGACGTGGGGCAGGCAGGAGGGGGAAGGGACCCTGTCCGACCACTGCAGAGGGAAATTACTGAGTGGAATTATATAAAAAGCTGTCGATAGGCCACCACCCTGACCTACAAAGCTGACCGACCCCAGTCGGCTCCCCTCAGAGCTGCCACAGCCACTCAGTTAGCCCAGGCCCGTGGCAGCATAAGCCACAGGCACAGGAAAAGCCCACGCCCAGAGGAGAGGTGGCAGCCTCCAGAGGGGCTCGGGCGCCCTGAGGCCACTGGGATTGCTTTTCCCAGGGCTCTGGCGCCGTCCGGGGCCCTCTCCCCCCAGCAGCCTCGCAGGAGCCTCCCGGCTGGGCTCGCCGCAGGGAGAAGCATTGCAGCTGCAGGTTCCTGGACGCAGGCCCAGGGCCCTGGGGCAGGAGGCGGGCCCGCTTTCCTCCCCTTTTCCAGGACAGCCAGGGAGGCAGCGGCCCTGCCCGAGGTGGGAACACCTGCCCCCACGGAGGTCCGCCAGGCAGGATCGCCCATGGTTTACCCAGCAACACGCCGGCGACACAGCGGCTCCCTGGCCGTGGCTGGGGCCAGGAGTCCCCCTGGACTCGAAAGAACGCTTTTAAAGGAGGCACAAACCTCCCTTCTTCCCCCCTTGTCGCCTCTTCCGCACTCCCAAGCACAGGATGTGAGGACCCCTCTCTCCTCTGCGTCTGTCAAGAAACTGAGCCGGGGCCGGCGCCTGCGACCGCAGCATCCCACGTGGCGCCAGGTGGAGTCCTGGCTGCTCCTCACCCCATCCAGCTCCCTGCTAAGTCGCCTGGGAAGCAGCTGGTGAGGGCCCAAGGGCTCGAGTAGCTTCCACAGTGTGGGAGACCCGGGTGGAGTTCCCAGCACCTGGCTTCGGCCTGGCCCAACTCTGGCCGCTTGGACATTTGGCGGGTGAACCAGCATGGAGGCCGACTCGCGCTCACTCTGTAACTCTGCCTTCCGAATAAGTCAATCATTAAAAAAAAAAAAAAAAAAAAAAAAAACTGAACAGTCGCCCAGTTCCAAAGTCACCGGGGCACAGTGGCGGCCTCAACGCCCGTGTCCTGCTCGGGGACAATGGGCTCTGTCACAGGCGGCTGTAGGTCACAGCCTGGGGTCGGCGTCTGCTACCATCAGGGCACGGGCTGGGTGGCTTCCTGCCAGAGGCTGCTCGCCTTGGAGGCATCCAGAGGCCGCCTGCAGTCCTTGGCTTGCGGCCCTGTCCTCCACCCGCAAGGCCAGCACGGCGTCCCAGGTCCAGGCCCCCCTGCCTCCTCTCGGGAGGGCAGCCACGACTCCACCGAACCCCGCAGAGCCCAGGGAAAGCCCCATGGACGCCCCCTCTGCCGCGGGCTCAGAGCATCTGGGGGCCACTGTGCCCTCCCCACAGGCTCCAGCTCTGCGCCCCGAGGAGGCCCAAGGCCCCACCCTCGACGAGGGCAGATTTGGGTCTGTCGCCTTGTGGTGACTACAGGTCCCCAAGGCTGCAGGATCCGACCTCTGACGGGAACGCAAATCCAGCAGGGCCCTAGAGTCCCCTCTGCAAGTGCCAAGGACCCGATGGGCGAGCCGCGGCCCCGCCGCCCTACCCGAGGTCGCACACTCGACCACGACCCCAGGGCACACGGAAGGCACCACTGGAGTCCATGCTGTCCCACATCCATGCGCCCTAGGCCGCCAGCGACGCCGGCAGAAGCCTGGGCAGGGGCGGCGTGGCCGGTGCGACACTCCTGCATGCGTGTCCCAAGCCCCAGCACCACGGCGCTCACAGCACAGCCAGTGCCTGCCAGGACGGAGGTGAGGGAGATGGCCAACAGGGGCTGGGGAGTCGGGGACCACCCAGAGCTGCGGGGGATGTCTGTGGCAGGGCCAGCGCCCGCCCCCAACAGCGGCTGAGGGCCCCAGGGCGGTGCAGACAGGGACCGGGCGAGCCCTGCCCCTGAACGACCTCGTGGCACCAGCAGCTTCAGCGCGCGACCCTACAGACGCCGGCGGGCAGCACCACTCACTGCCTTCCCCTGGGCACCTCCTTCCTGGCACAGGATCCCGGATGTGGTTTCACTCCAGTTCACAGGTCTGGAAAAAACCAACAGCAGCCCGGTGGCGGAGCCGGGTCTCCAGTGCACAGGGCCCTCACCCAGCCCTCCTCCCGGTCCTGGACTGCCAGGCAGTCCCCCTCATCCACAGCCTGGCGTCCAGTCAGGGCCTCGCTCCCCTGAAAGACCCCCCTGTAGCGCGTGCTCCCCATCTTGGCGTCAAAGCACCTGCTGCTCCGGCCCTGGGCGCCCCCCACCAGGGCTCAGCCCGAGGCGGCCCCAGGGCCCAGCGAGGACGGCGGGAGCCCGAGGTCACGCAGCAAACCTGCAGAGCAACACCAGGGGCACAGCCGCGGCCGGCTCAGCCTGGCCACCGGGAGCAGCGCCGCACAGCAGACCGGCAGACGTGGCTTCCTGCCGGCCCTGCAGCTTCTATTTATAGCTGAGCACGGAGAAGCCTCCCGCAAGGCACAGCCAGCCGCAGCCTGGGAGCTTGTAGGTGAGCCCCCCGGGGTGGGGGGGACGGGCTGGGGCGGGGCGGGGAGGGTGGGCCCAGGAAATGCCCCTGGTCCAGGGGGAGGGACTCGAGGATGGACCAGGCTCTGCCCATGACAGCTGCCCAGCAGGAAGAGGCTGCCAACCACGCCCTGCACCAACCACCACCGTGCCTCAGTTTCCCCATCTGTGCACAGGGAAACGGACCACTGTAGGGCACCGTGAGGCTCGAATGAGGACGGAAAGCCAGCCGGCACCCCCACCATGCCCTGCCCAGAGCCAAGACACGGGCACCCTCTGCAAGTGCACACCTTCCACAGCCCACCGAGGGCCCCCGGGGGCAGGGCACACAGACGCCCCCATTCCCAGAGGCACAGAGCCACGGAACTGTACCGGGAGACACAGGGCGCCCCAGCGCTCGCTGTCCTGGCACTGGCCAGGGATCTGAACCCAGAAGACAGAGCTGGCCCGGGCCCTGCAGAGCTTGCTTCCTGGGGTCAGGGGAGGCAACAGGGCCAGGAGGGAGCAGCACCCAGAGGCTGCGCGCCCATGGGAACGCAGGCCCCAAGTCCCTCGCAGGCAGCTGGGTCACCACCTCCCTCCAAAGACACGAAGGGAAGCTGAATGCAGTGACCACACCGACAGCGCCCCCTCCACGCCGGCAGCCAGCCACGTGGCCGCCACTCCCACAACCTGACCTCAGCCGCTGGGTGGACAGGGAAACCGAGGCCCTGCCTTGGGGTCAGGGGAGAGCCGGCTCAGGCTCCAAGACCTGGGGGGGGGGGGGGATCTGTGGGGAGCAGCAGGGGCCCAGGGACAAGGGAAAGGTGTCAGACACTCCATGACTCAGGCACTGGGGAGCCTGAGCGGGGGAGGGGAGCCGTGCCCAGCACAGCCCTGGAACCCAGGGCACAGCAGGGAACCCCCGCCCAGCAGGGGTGACGGACCCCAGTCAGACAAGCAAGTGAAACCACAGCTGAGAAGGGGGGGAGGAGGCGGGAGAAGGGGAGGGGGAAAAGGGGAGGCAGGAGAAGGGGAGGGGGAGAAGGGGAGGGGGAGAAGGGGAGGGGGAGAAGGGGAGGCAGGAGAAGGGGAGGCAGGAGAAGGGGAGGGGAGGGGGAGAAGGGGAGGGGGAGAAGAGGAGGGGGAGAAAGGGAGGGGGAGAAGGGGAGGGGGAGAAGAGGAGGGGGAGGGGGGAGGGAGGTGAGCAGAGACCTCACAGAGAGAGAGTAGGGTTTGAGACAGACACCTGGGGAGCAGTGCCCTGGGCAGAGCGATGCAAAGGCCCTAGGGCAGGGGCCCTCCAATGGCAAGGAGGCCCCAGTGTACCCGGGACACGGGGACACAGCCTTGCGCTGGGCTCCAAAGGCCAGCGCGATGCCAGGATGCAGCTGGGCCAGGGTTCCAGGGCCACTCACGGGACCACGGCAGCGGAGGCAGCACTTTTCTCTCACCCCAGACGCGGGCAGGCGGCTGCTGGAGGCTCCGGGCGAGAACCCAGCCCAGGCCTCGTTTGCCCGCAGCCCGTGGCCTTCCTTGGCTCGGCTGCATCGCCGCGACCTCTGCCCCACATGTCTGTCTTCTTCCTGAAAGGCCCCCGGTCACGGCGACCCAGGCTGACCTCGGCTAACAAGCCCTGCCTGCGAGGTCTCTTCCCGAGGGCAGTGCGCGAGGGCTGAGTGGACTCGGGTGTGGGGAGGGCGGGGCCTGGGCCAGGGCGCAGGTGGGAGGAGGTGGGGATGGCGGGCGGAGGCGTGCCGTGGGCAGGTGTATGCGGCAGGTGTGCAGAGGAGGAGCCGCCCCCTCCATGCCCCAGCACCTAACGGAGCACCCAGGCCCCTGGCTCCTGCTGGAGCCACAGAATGGCAGCCCCTAGGCCCCGGGCTGGCGGCAGAGGCCCGGCATCGTTAGCCTAACAAGCAGCCTGGTGCCAGGAGGGTTGCCATGGCCACGGAGACACCGCAGGCGACACTGCTGGAGGTCTCGGCGGGCACCGCAGGGTTCAGCGTGAGGACAAGGGGGCCTCCAGGCACCCCCTCCCCATGGGGCCTGGCCCCTGGGACTTGTGACTTGGAGCACTCCCCAGAGAGGCCCCCGGGGACGCCAGGAAAACATGGACTCCCCATCCACCTGCGCCTGGAGACCTGCGGGCTGATCCCATCCCCCACGGTGCACAGAGGTCACAGCGCTGGGGGGCAGAGCTGCTGGGGAAGGTCAGAGGTCACGTGGCTCTACCTGCTGTGGCTGCAGCCACTGCCCGGGGGTGAGGGGGAGACCAGGAGGGCCACGGCAGGGTGGGGGGCATCTGGGACCACTCTGGGTCCTGTGCCCACACTCATGGAGGCAGCCCAGGATGGGGCTCTGGGGCCAGGGGCCAGACGGCAGGAGGCTGGGCGCGTCCTGCAGGAGTGACCACGCCTCAGTGGAGCCCGGCACCCCTGCTCCACCACCACCCACGGCCGTCGCACACACCACCCATTTCCCTGCTGGGCAAACCAAGGGGCTTTCTGCAGAGAGAGAGAAAGGGGGCTCAGAGCCACGGTTCCCTCAGGACCAAAAGCCCTGAATTACAGACACAGGCCAGGACACGGAGCCCCTGAGAGCCTCAGCCAGGGGCTCCCGGGGCAGACACACACCCCCGCCCTCGGTGCACAGAGACCAGCGCCCGCCTCCACGCCCACAGCCGCTGCCCAGCTCCCTCTGCTCCTGTCCTTGCGCGGCCCCAAGCTCTGAGCCGGCAGCAGGAGCAGCGGGGAGGAAGGAGACGCTGGTGGGCGCGCACACAGCCGCAGCACCACCCCCAACGCCCTCTGCGCCACCGCCCTGCTCCCCCAGGCCCAGTGCCCTCCGCCCTTCCCGTCCAGTCACTCACTACCATCCAAAGACCCTGCCCAGCCGTCACCCAGGCCCTGACCACAGGACGCTCCTCGGAGCCAGGCCCTGGCTTCCTCCTGCACACGGCACACACCCACAAGCACCCAGCGGGAACGTGGGTGGAATCATCTTGCAAAGTGCCTTCCCTCTCTACTGGGAAGACCCCAATGCTGCATCTGACAACCCAGAGGGCAGTCGGCTGACAGGGAAGAAACACGGACAAACCGACCAGCCGCCGGGACAGACTAGGCAAAACCAAAATGCAGACTGGTGACTGCTGGAGGCAGACTACAAACCTGGCTCTGAGCTTCCCAGCAGTCAAAGCGAAAAAGGAAACAAGGCGCGTCTCGACTGAACTCCTGAGAACTACCTAGCACCATACAGCAGGTGCTGTGGCAACTGCACGGCAGGCTCAAGACGGGGTGTGCCTCGGGGGAGAAGGTGCCAGGGCCTTCACCACCCCCTTCTTCCCGCTGCAGCTGCATCGCTGCCTTCACCAGGCAGCTCCAGCCACGGGCAGCAGCCTGACACCCTGACACCCTGACACAAGCGGGCGTCAGCAGGAACAATGGCCGGGGCAACCTGACCTTCAAACCCACCCCTCTCGGGGCCCCAGCATCCCCCGCATCTGGGTCTCGGGATCACAGAGGGTCTCTGTGAAAGGCCCCTCCGTCCCAAGCCCTCAGCTCTGCGGACAACGAGCACAAAGCTTCACCCGGGGACGCAGTGTCTGCACCTCATAGCCCCTCTCTCGCTCCACCGTCCCGGGCACCGCGGGCCGCATCCCACACAAGCACAGGTTCCTGTCCCGCTGCTCCACTTCCGACCCGGCTCCCTGCTAATGCACCCGGGGAAGCAGCAGAGGGCGGCCCGAGTGCTTGGGCCTCTGCAGCCGCGTGGGAGACCCGGAGGAAGCTCCTGGCTCCTGGCTGCAGTCTGGCCCAGCCCCAGCCCTTGGAAGCATTTGGGGAGGGAACCAGCAGATGGAAGCTCGCTCGCTCTCGCTCTCTCTCCCTCTCTCTCACTCTCTCGCTCTCTCTCTCTCTCTCTCCCTTTCAAATACATAAATCTCTTCTCTTTTTTTTCTCAATGCAGAAAGCAGATTTAGCTTAGCCCAGACGAGAACAGGAGGCAGCCAGACACGGCCGAGGGCCGCACGTGGGCCACGGTCATCTGCGAGCGGGCTGCAACTCGGGCCGTGAGCATTCGCTGCGCGAGTCTGGGAGTGCGTCTCTACAGGGCACACACACGTGTCCGTCCGAGGCCGACGTACGCCGAGCGTCTCCCGGGGAACGCACAGGGACCACGGGCTGTGACCGCCCGCAGGGACAGAGCCTGGGAGGCCAGGCGCCCGGGCACGTCTATAATATGCATTTTTTTCTAACTTCTGGAGACTCCTCACACACATGCATTTAATTCCATTTTTCCAAGAACCATCTGCAGCCCCCTCCCATAAAAGGCAGCATGGGCCCCTAAAGCGTTCGCTGGGCAGCCTCCACGGGGAGCAACGCTCACGGCGCGCTCGCCCTGTCGGGACCCAGAGTCACCAAAAGCAGGTCTGCGCCAGGTGTGCCGTGCAGGCGCAGGCCAGGGAGGCCGGGAGGCGCCTGGAGCCACTGGGTGTGCAGCGCGGGCACCCAGGCTGTGTGGACCGGGAGGGGTCAGCCTGGGAGGGTCCCCACAGCCACACAAGTGGCCCAGGACAGGTGGGAGCCGCCAGCCAGGTGAGCCTCTTGGAATCCATCAAAACTGAGTCAAGGTAAAATTCCGCCCCGACTCGCAGCTCCAGTGCTGGCAGATCTAGAACGTTCCGCCGGCTGCAGGGAAAGGACGGGGCGGGGGAGGTGGACGGCCGGCAGAGGAGGCAGCCCTGGGCTGGCTTTGGGAAGCGCACCCTCCAGCACCGCTCACCACGCACAAGGGGGTCCCTGGAGGCCCAGAGCCCTGGCCCTGAGCCGATCTCATCCTGCAGCCCACACCGGCTGACGCGGCAGCCATGGGCCACAGCCGCAGGTGGCCGCTGAGACTGAACTTCATTAAAATTAAATTAAAGCACAGCTCAGCTGCTGCCTCGCTGGTCACGTTCAAGTCTCAGGAGCCACCGCGCCCCATGGCCTGGCCTCAGACGGCAATTTCCACCACGCAGGGCGCCCGCTGGACGGCAGGGACCCGGACTGCACCATTTGAACCCAGGTCTGACCTCAAAGTAGCCCCTCCCAGAACCACCAAGGTCACTCTCCCCGCTGGAGAGAAAGCGCAGCTCCCCCGCCCCGCCCCCATCCCCAGCACCACCCTCTCCAGGCTGCACGGGACCCCCAAGACACAGGGTGACTGCAGGCAGAACAGCACCCCGCCAGGTCCAAGGGCAGAGGGAGGGACCCGTGCCCGTCACAAGGCACTTCCCAGCAGCCTTCGAGAGGGAGAAACAGGGCCGGCACTGACCCCAGCGCCATAGCGTAGCAGGTAAAGCCTCTGCCTGCGGTGCCGGCATCCCAAATGGGTGCCAATTCGAGTCCCAGCTGCTCCATTTCCCATCCAGCTCTCTGCTATGGCCTGGGAAAGCAGTGGAAGATGGCCCAAGTCGCTGGGCTCCTGCACCCACGTGGGAGACCCGGAAGAAGCACCTGGCTCCTGGCTTCAGATCAACTCAGCTCCGGCCGTTGTGGCCATTTGGGCAGTGAACCAGCGGATGGAAGACCTCTCTCTGTCTCTCCCTCTCTCTCTCTAACTCAGCCTTTCAAATAAACAAACAAGTCTTAAAAATAAAAAAAAGGAGGTAAGGGCACCCACCTCTGCCAACCTGGGTTCACACACCTGAACAGGGAAACCTTGGCTCTCCAACGGGTCCCCAAAGCAGCAATGGCAGCTCCCCAGGGAGTGGCTCGGTGCACCCCCATCTCAGAGAGGAGCAAACTGAGGCCCCGAGACGTGACGAGCCCTGCGTCAGACAGCTCACGGCTGCAGAGACGGCATGGACACCCCTGCCCCGTACTCCTCTCCACAGCCCCCGGGTCACACGAGGGCACCCACACTGCGCGAGCAGCGGGCACCAGCCCGAGCAAACCCCCTGCAACCGGCTGAGCCCGGGCCTGAACGCTGGCTGCTCGCTCAGGGATGGTGCACAGCACATGGCCCAGGAGTCCCGGACACATGCTTAGGGTGACCCCAGGAGATGAGGAGCAAAACACTGGGGCACGACCACGCCAGGCGTGGGAAGGGCCCAGGCGAGGACAGGGGTGCTGAGGGGCCCACCCCTGTGCGACCTTGGACTGGTCACGCCCTCGCACGCACAGGGGCCCCGGGGCAGCCAGTCCCCCGGCGGCAGCCAGCCCCCGCACACCCCCAGGCCCCAGCTCCCCTCTGATGGAGATTTCCGGAGCCAGAGCTGAGCTGCTCCACGACAAGCTCAATAATTCAAAACCATGTTTCCATTTCAAAATAAACACGGCCCTGTCGCCAGGGCGAACGCCAAATTTGCATGAGTGTGGAAGATAAACCTCAAAGACAGGCCCGCCTTCCACTGGCACCAGCCCCCTCCCCAAACCCTGGGGAGGACGGCCGGGATCTGCTGCCCCAGGGCTCTGATCTGCAGGTGCTGCCCACATAGGAAGCAGCGTTTCCCTGGCCAGCCCCCCTCCCCAGGCCCTCCTGCACCCACCCTCTCCAGGCCGAGACCGCCACCTGCCACTTAACCTCTCTGCGCCCCAGCTCAGCAAGACGCCCCAGGTGGGCGCCCCAGCTCAGCAAGACGGGGCCACAGCAGCACCAACCCCCGGAGGTCACGCAGAGCCACCAGGACCCCGGCAGGCACGGGCCCTAGCACATCGCGAGGGCCGTCTCCCTCACTGCAGTCCGGACGGTTTCCAAGCTCCCACACCGCGTTCCCGTGACGGAGCCCTGCCTCCAGGCCTGTCCATGGCACTCAGCTGAGCTTTCCTGAGCACACCTCCCTGGGGAGACCCCCCCCAGACCCACCTGGGGGACAGAGGCCCTGTCCGCTGCCGCCCTTGGCCGGGCCCCAGCAGTCCAGGCTCGGCGCCTCCCTGCCCTGTCCCCGGGGCGTCTCAAGCAGGAATTACCAGCCCTTGCGCGAGCTGCGTCCCAGAGGTGTCACCCGGGAGGCGCGTGAGACATGAAAGAGAAATGGAGGGGCGCACCCACAGCAGAGGCTCGGCCCCCACGCCAGGGTGCACTGATGTCGGATCTTCCGCCCTGGGACCTGAACCGCTCTCTTCTCCCCCTCCGGCTGGGTGACTGCAGCTACCCTCCCCCACCTGGGAGGGAAGCACCAACTTCTCCCCCTACAGGCCTGGCGGGGGGAGGGGGGCGGGGGGGGGACTCAGAAGAAGGGATGCCCCCTCCCAGACAGGGGAAGCCACCAGGCCCCCACACTGGCAGGTGGGCGCCCCAGCTCAGGATGGCCGAAGGCAAATTCATGTTCACAGAGAAAGGACAGACTGCACACCAGGCCAAACGCCGCCCCGCCAGAGGGGTCCCGGGGGTCTCCATCTCTCACAGGGGCCTGACAGCCCCGGCACGTCTGCGTGGAGTTATCAATAGTATCTATCAATAGTATCGATCCCTGAGCGGCTGTAAACAGCTCAGGAGAAGCGGCCAGGGCTGGGCCCCGGCTCCCGCCCCCACGTCTGGGCCCGGCAGCACAGGCTCCCCTGGCACCGGCGCCGGCAGCAGCAGTAAATTTCCAAGCAGGGACACGGTGGGCGGCGCAGGGATGTCAGACAGCTGCGGGACGCCCTCCATGCGCCGCCGCCACCTCCATGGAGGCCCCGGCTCGGCCAGGCTGTGTCTGCATCTGTCCAGCAGGCAGAGGCCACCTGCCCATGGCCACCGGCAGGGGTGGGAGGAGGGCCCGCTCCCTGCAAAGACCCCACCGCGCCCTGCCCAGGCAGAGGGGAGACAGACAGCTCCCGGCGGCAGTGTCCAGGCCACCCGGTGCTCACCGCGCACCTGCAAACTCCCCCCAGCCTCACTGGGCGTGTGGAAGCCTGCGGCCCGGCCGGCCGGGTTAGGTAACCCGCCGGGGTCACAGGGTTAGCAAAGCAGAACAAGATCCGAACCACGCAGCAGGCTGCCCAGGCGCCCCACGCTCGGCCAGGCTAGCTGCCCTGCCCCCTCCTCAAATTAAGAAAAAAACAGGCCACCCACCACGTGCACAGCAGAGCCCGGAGGCCCCCTCCGACCCAGCCCCAGTTTAAAACTGGCGGAGTCAAGGCCGCCGATAACACGCAGGACTCCCCCACCCGGCCCCGGGATCCTCGCCTCCCTCCCTCCCTCCCTCGCTCTCACATCCTTCCTGCAAATCTGCAAAGAGGAAAAAAATCATAATAAAACCAGTTCTCACCGACAGGGGGGAGGGAGGAGGGGCGGAGGCTGAGCGCGCGCAGCGGATCCGCCCCCGCTGCCCGCACCAGACCCGGAGGGCCCGGCGGCCGCCCGCTTCCAAAAAAACAAACCCACGCCGCAGCAGCAGCGCCGGGCGCCCCACGCCGACGGGCCCGGGCGGCGGCAGCACGCGGGTCCCGCGCCCTCCCACGGGCGTCCAGGGCGGCGAGCAGGCGTCCCACGCGCGCCCCCCGCCACGAGGGCCTGGGGCTCCCCGGTGCGGCCCCGCTCCGGATCCCACCTTCCCACCCAAACTCGTGGCCTCGCGAGGATCCGCACCGCCCCGGGCAGGCACCAGGAAGCGGCCCGAGGAGGCGTCACCGGGCGCCGGAGGCAGGCCCAGACCCCGCGCGGGGGCAAGGGCGCGCGCCGCTGCGACCCCGCCCAGCGCCCTCGGCCCTCGTGCAGATCCCCCCACGCGCCCCTCCACAGCTGCCAGATCGGGGCGGGGCGGGGCGCTGGGGTGCCACCTCCACAGACGCCCCAGAGACGCCGGAAAATAAGGCGCAGCGTCGCCCCCCCCCCCGCTGCTTCGGAGGGGAGGGGGCGCTCGGCGAGCCAAGCCCCCAGGGCGGGCGCACGCGGCTGGGGACCACCCTGCGCCTCGCCAGGCGCCCCCCCCCGCCCCCCCACGCCACTTCCCTCCCGCCCGCCCCTCGCCGCGGAGCTGGAGTTCCCCTAAGTTCCCCGCGCCCCCAAGCACGCGGGCCGCAGTGCCGACCCGGCGCCCCCGGAGCGCCAACTCCGAACGCAAGGGCCCCGCCAACTCCGCCGCGTGCGCCGCCCGGGAGTCCCCCCTGCCCCGGAAGCGCGCCCCCAGCCCTCTGCGGAGACCCCTCCACCCCGACTCACCTCCCGGAGGTGGCGGCGGCGGCGGCGCCCGGGCTCGGGGCACGCTCGGGCCGCCCGGGCGCTCAGGCAAGTGGCGGTGCCGATCGGGCTGGGGGCGCGCAGCAGGCCCGGCCTGTGGCCCGGGCGCGATCCTCCCGCCGCCGCCTCCTAGGGCGCCGGCCCCGGGTCCCCGGCCCGCAACTTGGCGCGCATGGCGGGGCGCAGGGCGCGGGCGCACGGCTCAGGCGGGGCGCGGGGAACGCGGGGCTCCGGTGCGGCCCGGCCTGCCCGCGGCTCCGCGCTCCCCGGCGGCGGCGGCGGCGGCGGCGGCGGCCGCGGGAGGGGGAGGAGAGGCGGGGCGGGAGCCCGGGAGGCGGTGGCTCGGCCTCGCCGCTCCCGACTCCCCGCCCGCACCGACGCGCCCCGGCCCGGCCCCCTCGGGCTCCTTAAAGGGCCCGCGCCGCCGCCTCGGGCTCTGCACGCCCCTACCCGCGCGCGTCCCCGCGGCCGCACACTCGCTGGGGCGCGACGCCGACTTTCTTCCTGGCAGCTCCGGCGAGGGGGAGAGCGCCTCTCATCCCACCGCCTTCCTCCCTCCTCCTCCTCCTCCTCCTCCCCCCCTCCCCCCCTCCCCCCCCACTCCCTGGCCCCAGACACTCACCGGAATCGGTTTCCGTCGCTAACTTGTAACTCCGGAGTGGCAGCTGGTGGGGAGGGGGCACTTGCGGGCCACTGGCGCTGCCGCAGACGCTGGGGTGCAGCCTGTCCCCCGACAGGCGCGCTCCGGGCCTGGCCAGGCAGGAGGTGCAGCCCAGGTGGACACAGCGGGCCCCAGGCCTGCGCAAAGCCTGGGCAGGAGCTGCCAGCAGGCAGAGCTCATACCACGCCGCGGGCACCTGCACTCCGGCGAGGGGGAGAGCCGGGGGCTGGTGAGTGCGCACCCACTGGGGGACGGTCGGGGACACGCGGCCGGCCGCGGTGGCGACACATGCGTGCAGGAGCGCGCCCGTGGGGCCGCACGCCCACGTGTGCCCACGCACCCCTCCAAGGTGGCCCCTGCGGCCGGGGCTCCAGGCCGCAGCCGCCCTCCCTCCCCCTTCTGCCCTTCCCTAAGATGTTGAAGAGTTTGAATTTTTTTTTTTTTTTCAGTTCAACTTTCCTTTTTTGGAGTGACTTCTCAGCAGATTCACTTCTGCCATCTGCCAACATCTGAGAGCCCCCAGAGAGCCGGGGAATGGCCGCGGCGGGGCGGCGGCCCTGCGGTTTCCAGGGGGCCCCCGGGCGCCTCCGCCTCCTGCGGGATGCTGGCCTGGCTGCCCTGCCCCCCCGCGGCGCGGCCCAGGGTCCGGGCTGGAGGCTGGTGCAGAGGGCATCTGAGGCCAGCAGATCTGGAAAGAGGGAAGTGCGCCTAGCAGACTGCAGTCGGGAACGGGAGGGGTCGCCAGGCCAGCCCCTCCCTCCTCAGGGGGAAGGAGCAACCCGGGTGAGCACCGCCCCCCAGGCTACCCCCCCCACTCCTGGGGCCTGCATTTCAGAGTCCTCTGGCTTCAGGGGGTCCCCAGCTGATCAGCTCTGCAGGAGGACTCCTTGTGGGGGGGGGTCTCAGCCGATCCTCCCCCAGCTCTGCCTCCCAAGGGTGGGCCAGGCTGGGTGGGGCGCAGGTGCCTCTGCTTTGCTCACCAGGAAGCCCCTCCCTGGGACTTCTGGGCCCACCATGTTGCGGGCTGGGGGCTGCTTTCCCGCCTGCTGGGCTTCAGGAGACAGGACAGGCACACTGAGGCCCTGGGGACCCCCTGAGTGCCCCTCACAGGAGGGCTGCTGCAGACCCCACCCCACAGAAGGGAATTGAGGCCTAGAGGTGAGGAATGGAGGGTGCCCGCCTCCCTCTGCTGGTGACTCCGCGTGGTGCCCGGAACCCTGGCTCAGGGAGCTGGAAGCCGGCCACCCTCAGCCCCCACCACCACTGGCTCCCTAGTGGCTCCTCTCCCGGCCAAGCTGCACTTTGTTCCTGGGCTCTGGGCAGGCAGCAGCCCCAGGGATCCCCATGCTATTCATGGGAACAATGGTTTTGAAAAACCAAAACTCAGACAGTACCCCTGGCAGCTGTGCCTTTGTGAGGGCTGGCTTCCCATAGTCCCATTTTACAGGAAGGAAGACTGGGGTTGAGTTAGGGAAGTCACCCAAGGACATTGGGCAGCGTGTAGTAAGTGGCCCAGGTCAGAATGGAAGGGGGGGGGCCTCTGGCGCTGTGCTACACCAGGTTAAGCTGCCACCTGGGATGTCCGCATCCCTCTCTGGAGTGCTGGTTTGAGTCCTGGCTGCTCCGCTTTCAATCCCGCTCCCTGCTCACGTGCCTGGGAAAGCAGCAGAAGACGGCCCAAGTGCTTGGGCCCTGCACCCATGTGGAATTCCAGACTCCCGGTCCTGGTGGCCAGCCCCAGCTGTTGTGGACATCTGGGGAGAGAACCAGCAGACGGAAGATTTCTCTCTCTCCCTCTCTCCCTCTCTCCCTCTCTCCCTCTCTCCCTCTCTCCCTCTCTCCCTCTCTCCCTCTCTCCCTCTCTCCCTCTCTCCCTCTCTCCCTCTCTCCCTCTCTCCCTCCCTCTCCCTCTCCCTCTCCCCCTCTGTCTTTCTGTAACTCTGCTATTCAAGAACACAAATCATCAAATAAATAAATAAAATGCAAGAATGCCAAAAGCCAGGTGGTGTTTGCCAGAGAATGGGGGAGGGGTCTCTGTGTGGTCCCTGAGAAGTTCCTCCCTCACTTGCAGGGGGCAGCAGAGGGGGTGGAACCTCCCTGAAAGAAAGGGTGCCTCTTTCTAGAATGCCTGCTTTCAAAGGGGCACCCCAGATTTCCACGCACACTTATTGAGCACCTACTGTGTGCCGGGCGCTGTGGACCAGGCAGTGAAGGAGTCTAGGAGAAGCTGGTGTTTGTGTGCTGAGCAAGGGCGTCCAGGGACAGGAGGCCAGTCCCAAGGGTAAGAAAAACAGCCGGCCTTCCCAGGGAAGCCAACTGCATGTGCAGGGGATTGATCGGGGCCAGGGCCTCCCCAGGGGCGCCAGAAGCCCCTTCCACTTCCGCAGCCCCGTGCAGGAATGGCAGCCCCCCTCCCCGCCCCCCCGCCTTGCAGCAGGAAAATGCAGTGTCAGCCCCGGGCTGCTCCCAGCCTGCAGCTGTACTTATGACGCTGCGTTTCAGAGCCCAGGCACAGCCCGGAGGATGTCTGGAACCCACACCCCTGCTGCCCGCCCGCGCCCCCACCCCCACCCCGGGGGCTGCCCCAGCCATGGGCATCCGCTCCCGCGGGGCAGGCGCGCACACGGGCATCGACACAGCGAGGCATCCAGCCAGGACGGTGGGCCCTGTGGTCTCGCTCACGCTCCCGGTGTCCAGAGGCCAGGGCTGCCCAAACGGCTGCCGGTGGACGCTGGTGGGCCTCAGAGGTGGGGGTGCAGCTGTCAGCAAACCCAGTGCACTGAAGGACAGGTCTCCAGGCTGAGCTGCACAGCGCACCCGCCATTCACAGACAAACCCAGGGCCCGTTCAGGTGCGTGTGGGTGCTTGTCTGCTCCTGGGTACTTCTGCAAGGATCCGCACCCATCTGGAAGCACCAAGCCTGGGGGTGGAGCTGGGCCGGAGGCAGAGCCCACAGCATGGTGGGTGAAGACCCCCATTGTGCTCCAGGAAAGAAACAGGAAGGTGGCGGCAGAGGGGGCCAGGCCAGGGGAGGACCCCCGGCGGCGTCTGGACAGCGGCCCTGGGTGGGAACTTGCAGGTCGCACTCAGCCGGGCGTGAGGGGGAGGCCGCGTGGGCACTGAGGCTGGGGTTGCAGGGGACGCAGGAGGCACCAACAGCACCGCTGGCCTCCAGGCCGGGGGAGGCCCTGGGGACTGGGGATTGTGGGCTTGACCGTGGCCGCCTGGGCCGTGGGGGAGTGTTTAGACACACAGTGAGAAGTCTGGCTTATTCCTGAGTTGGACGCTCCCCCATGCACTTCTGGAAGCTTTTCAGGCCCAGGAGGTCCCCATTCCGTTCCGGCATCTTTGTTCCGCATTTGCTGCCTCCCAGCCTCCCTGAGAACGTCAGGAATGAGCCCCTGGGTGGCCTGACCCCCCCCACACACATGGGCCTGGGAAGCAGGCAAAGCCCCGCCCCCAGGGCAGCAGCTGGGCAAAGCCGCACATGGCAGCAGCGGCTGCCCCCCACCCCCCAGGCAGCCCTGCCCAGGGCTGTGGCCAGAGCTCAGGCCCCTGGGCAGGACGAGAGGGGAAGTCCCGGCCCCCAGTCTCAGAGCTGCAGGTGTACGTCCCCCTGGGCAGCGCAGCGTAGACACAGGGCACCAGGACGCCCCGTCCCAGGCAAAGACGGGGTCCCTCGAGCTAGGGAGAAGCCAGCTGCATGGCCAGGGCCACAGGTCTGGGGTCACGTCCCAAACCCTGACACCTCCATCATCCTGCAAGCAACCCGGCATAGATTTGCTCCAGAACTGAATGACAGGCAGGACTCGCGTGGTGCTCGTCGGCTGGCTGGGCAGAACCGGGGCCGCCTCTGCTCCAGAGAGGGGCCGTGCGGCGGGGCTGCCTGGGCCTCTGCTCCTCCCGCCTCCTGGGCAGCCTCACTGGACGGCAGCCGCCCGCAGCCACACCTGCCGAGGGTATGGAGCAGCCCCCCGCTCCAGATCCAGTGGCACCACTTGGAATGGGCAGCGAGCCCCCGGCTGGCCAGGGGCCCTATCGGGGCAGCAGTGGGCACAGGCCCTGGGGCTGGCAGCCACAGGGACCCCAAGTGTCTCACTGTGGGGGGGCATCCTGGCTGCAGGTGTCTGAGCACTGGGGCTCGGTTGGGTCCCCTCTGCGCTCCAGGCCCTGTGCTGGGGAGCGGCTGGGCGGATCAACAGTGCGGCTGGACCGCGGGGGCTGGGCAAGTCACTCCCTCTCCATGAGCCTCAGTTTTCCTCCTCTGCAGAAAGGGGCTGGACCCCCGCCCGGTCCACTCCCACAGGTGCTGTGGGGGAATCCAGGCCCAGGAAGCCTTTGGCGGCCTGAAGAGTGTTCCCCAGGAGCTCGCTCCTCCCGCTGGGCCTGCGCCTGTGCAGCGCGGCTCGGGGACCACGGGTCTCAGGTCTGAGGGGCTAGGGGCTGGGCACACACCCCCACCCCCT